TAAGACAATTTACACCCCTGTTTTTCACTTATTTTGGTAATAACTATTTAATGAAAACACCTGAGACAAGAGCTCATTTCTTTTTAAAGGATTTATTAACATAGGTCCATGATATAAAGACTAAAACACTTTCAGACCAATTACTCAGTCATCAATGAGTCCTTCACCAAAATCAGGGAAGACCATATTTGATGATAATTTTAAAGAAACTTTAAAAATTAAGTGGCTATGATCACCACCTTTTGGCTTCCTGTAGAAGAAGCAGAAAAAAGCATTTTTTTTCTTTGCAGTTCACCTTTAAAATGTTGGCATAGACTAGTAAGCTAAATTCCTTCGTGTATAAAAAGTTTACTACAGTCCTTCCTTCATGATTTGTTGTACAAAATAATAGACAGTTAAATAGCACCATGATTTTTTTGTGAGACTTGGTTAAAATCTCAACATGCAAATTTTGTATCACAGTTAAGAATTTTACAAGAATATTTTATTTTTTATTCAGTTTGTAATGGAAGTGAAAGACTTGTCACTGATGCTGTTTATTATCTTTGTAGGAATCAAATTGCTAATATATCCAAGGTCCAGAAAGCTAGGTCATCAATATCTGCAATGATGGATCTTGGGTCTTATTTCCTATAATTTTTAACTCACTATCCTCCATTACCTAGATCATTCTTTTTATTTATCTTACTTCTGGTATCTGTAATGGAAATATGTAGGCCTTTTGACAAACACAATGACTTTCCAAAATGTTGTTTTTATATTTGTTTTGTTTCTTGTAGATGTTATTTATCATAGATGGCAATTTTTACTGGAAGGTTTGAGAAAGAAAGGACTCAGCATACTTTATGGCTTATATGTGGGAACTCGAGAAAATATTTACAGCTTGAAAAAAGTTCACTATGTTCCAATATATTAATATTTTTGGCCTTCTATCAATTCCAGTACAGTTTTTCTTCTTGCAGTTGCTTTATAAAACATTTCAACAACAAATAAAGCCAACTGGCTCTTTCCACTTATGTGCTTAAATAGTTCCCCCACTTTTTGGCTGAAAACTCTTTTGTGCAATGAATTGTTAAAACCTAAAGTTGCTTTTTTATGTTATGCAAGATTTTATCCAGTCTGTAAAATGAATACAGGAAAGGTTTCAAACTAAATTTCCCAGTTTACAGGCAACATTTTTGACTGTTAAATTGCAAAGTTTTTTTTCCCTGGGGCAAGAAATCTAATGGCCTTGAATACCAAAAGACTATGAACACTTCCAGTTATCATTTTGGATTCACAAAATAACTTTTATTTGCTTAGCAGAAAAATAAGTACCACTCTGTACATGCAAAATAGCAATTGCTACAAAATCATTAAACTAACTAAAATACGGAAGTGTATCTCACTTGCACCAAGGTGCCTGATTCTATACTGTCTAATTATCAATTAGGTCAGCAATTAAATCCGTTGAGTCTCCAATCACACTCAGAAAAGGTTACTCGTTGTCCTATTTAATTAGCTCCTGCTGCTTATTCACATTAAACTCCTGGAACCCTCTTCATGTAGTCTATGCCACAGTATGGAAGAAAAATAATTGTTAATGAAAACAATCAAAATCATAACGTAAATTCTAATGCACAGTAAAGGAAATGCTTTAATAAGGAAACTTCATATTTGAACATTAATACTAAATTATTGCAATATTTTGCCACCATTAAATAATGAATCAAGCTTTTCAAATATGAGAAATCAGTAAAATATGAGTATAAACTTTAGAACTTTTATAATATCCAGATTTAAAAAAAATCCTCTCCTTTACATACATTTTACTGCTAAAGTATATGTGTATTTGTGAACATAATTCTAAAAATCTGGGACTGATTGTCTTCAAGATCTGAAATACATTCATAATTTTTATGCCTAAATTGCTGCAAACACACTGCATTTGATGTTTTGTATTATTATTCATTGGGGAAAAGAATCTGAACTCATACAGAGCAGCTTTCTATAAGATAATCAGTTCACTGAAGTTATATGCCATGGCTAGGGTTCATCTCATATGGATTCTATATAAGTAGTCCATAAGTACTCTTTATGAATGTTTTCACTCCCCTAAGTGAACTGAGATAGATGATTTTATTGTATGCCTTGTTCTGAAGTAGTACAGATATAGGCATAAAGTGTTCTTCCTTTTATTGGACTCTGAAGTATCTATTCTGTAATTTTCAGCTTCAGTTACAATACTGGGCTTCTTATTTATAGCTAAAATTGGGGTCCCAATGCCCGTATTATGCCGTATCATCAACTGAAGAGGTTTTACAACACTTGCTATTCTTGTCAAGAATGTTACTCTGAATGACTTTCATCAGAAGTTAGTAATGCAAAAGAAAAGTTGTTGTTAAAAAAGGAACTTTTGAGGGGCTTTATATTTGCTAGCTCTTAGTCCATCGGTACTTTGACTTATTCAGGGAAAAGTGAAGTAGCAATTATAAAGCTAGATGGTAGGCCCCTGTTAGAGTTGTGTGCTGTGCAAAAATTGCTTTAAAGGGGCAGCTAAGAATCCCTTTACATAGGGGAAGCCTCAAGTGTTTTTAAATTGACGTGGCTGTTTTACTCTCTCCACAAGTGTTGGTGGCATGTTGGGAGTAGAGAGGGGTCTATTGAGGGCAGATGAGTATGGGACCAGAGTTCATAGTTCTCTGGTGGATCTTTTGGCAGAATAGTTGCTATGAAACTGTCCCACCAAATGCAATTTAGAGGAGCTCTTAGGCCATAAGTTACACTGGGGATTGTTTCAGCTCTTGGCAGATCCAGGGTTGGAGCAGCATAAAGGTGGCTTATGGACATCCTCCTCTCTTCAGCATCCCCATTTTTCATGACAAAATTGTATGTGCTTCATAATTTACTGTGCAAACTCAAAAATATATTGTAAACAAAATTCTGAAAATATTTTTCATCTCTATAGCCTAGAACTTCTCAAGGTAGGAAGCATTTGTCACTAAGAAAAAGCTTTGAATTATATGTTTGTCTTTAACTGACTTTTTTTTTTGAAACACACAATAGTATTTCTAGAGCTCTGTTATGCTATAGGAGATAAGTTTCATACAAAGATAGGAATCATGTTTGATAGTTCTCTCTCTCTCTGACGCTATATATCATCAGTCCAAGAGTCAAACATTTAAAATTTTGTGAAGGCCTCCATTATATACTTCAGTGTATATGTGGGCACCTTTAAAGCAGCTTGACTTTTCCAGACCTTGAGCATTTCCAGCTCCCACTGAAGTGTGAGAGAGCCTTGGGTGTTCTGAAAACAGAACACTTATTCTGGTGCCTAACTGTATATTAAAGTGTCTACTTGTAGGCAGTCCTATTTCAGAGTTACCAGTTACCATTGGCAATTCCATGCCTGTGGCTGTGATATCGTTTGGGTTGCTAACAGTGTAGGAGCCTAAAAAAAGAAACTGTACACATAACTTAAGCCTGTGTTGCTAATGTTTTAACATTACAGTTTCAACAGAGGTAGCTTAAATGGTACAACAGTTCTTCGTTATGATTACCATGATTTCTTGGAAGTAGACAAACTCCTATTGACATTATAGACTAGTGGCTCCACCACGGTATAATCTGCTAAAACCTGTCATGTCATACATACATTAATTAAAGCATGGACTATCCATTTTAACAATGGTCCCAATGGTGCTGTTGGAACCATTCAAGTTTTTGGTAACATTTGGAGCTGTCATCATGTTAATGTGACTATAATGATTCCGTTATTTTGAATAATGTAGTCTCCACTTTCTCGGTTACTGACCGTTCTTTTTTTGTCTATAAAATGATAATGACCACAAAAGTCGTGTGCAGGCTATCCTGCTGCTGAAGCTGGAATAAATTGTTAATTGAATTTGTACATTTGTTAACTCAAATTCCATGGATACTTCAGCGAACCATATGAGATTTTGGCTTTTTACCTGCAGAAGGGTATATACATCTATAATCTGGTTGACCCAAAAGAAGATTATTTCTTCCAACAGCATAGGGGATTCTGCATATGTATATAAAAGCATGGCCTTGACTCTTTACCCTGATCCATGAACACATTTCCCAGATCCTGTTTCAAAATCTTTTACTGAGATTTAAAAGAAAACACAACATGGGCAGTCAACTTCCAGCTTGTACTTGGAGAGGATTTTTTTTCAGTGCCTACAGGCAACACTTATAAGAATATTGCTTGTAAGTGCTAGAGTACCTAAGCATAAGAGTATGAATTAAGGATGAAGTGATAAGATTCAACTTTGAATTTTTTTGATTATATGGTTTGAAATCGAACTCTTAATGTTATTTCAAAGTAAAATTTTGTGTCTCATACAGTGCAGGTTTCAAATCAGAAGAGAGTTACTTTTTTTTGAGTGTTAGTCAAGAAGTCTAAGACATTTTAATAGCTTTCATATTCCACTCTTCAAATATATTATTGCAGCACAATAGTTTCTTTGCATGAGAATTGCTTAAATGATTCAAAATGGATTGGAAAATATATTTCAGGTTTTAATTTTATGCACAGAACATTAATGAGCAGTGCCCCTTAGAGATTTGCTGTCAGTTTAACATATTCACAATAACCTCAACACAGATGTTATTCCATCTAAATCCTTTTAGAGGGAAGAAACTGGTAATTTTTCCTTGGAGAATGTCAGAAAATATATTATTGTTGAAATTACATCCTGATCCCAGAATGCTATGTAAGATATCATTGCTAAGAAGAATAAATAGCACGTTGTTTCTGAGTAATATGCATGTGAAACTTTTTTTGAGTCTCCTGTAAGTGTAAAAACAAGTGATCTTTATTATGTTAGTCTCACACAGTTTTGCTTCCTTTGTGGATGATCATAGGCAGTGATGGATTTCAGCATCTAATTGTCTTCTAATGTGAAGAAATGTTTGTTATTAACTTCAGATTTTCCTACATACAAATGACAACTGTAGCATGGTAGTGTTATCATCAGCCCTGTCTGTCTAGATATATCTCACTAGGAATACTTTGAACAACTAAATTAGAAATATATGGTAAAAATGTAATACTCTACATTACTAATTTTTGTTGCAAGACATTATAATTTATTTCCTCTGGAACACATGAGCAAACACAATCCAGTCCTGTCCTGAGCTCTGGGATGTATCAGTGCTCACTTTCCACTCACAACATAAGAATGACCATATTCAGTCAGACCAATAGTCCATCCAGACTGATGTTCTGTCTTCTAACAGTGGCTAGGTGGCAGATGCTTCATAGGTAGTGAATAGAACAGGGCAATTCTGAGTCACCCATCACTTTTTATCCAGTCCAAATTTCTGGCAGACAGAGATTTAGGAACACTTGGAGCATGGGATTGCATCCTTGACCATCATGGCCAATAGCCATTGATGGTCTGTGAACTTACCTAATTCTTGTTTTTAATGCAGTCGTACATTTGGTCTTTCACCACTTCCCATGGCAACGAGTTCCACAGGCTGACTCTGTGTTGTGTGAAGAAATACTTCCTTTTGTTTGTTTTAAACCTGCTGTCTCATCATTATTCTCTTCAGGTGACCTCTAATACTTTTTATATGTGAAGGGGCAAATGGCACTTCCTTGTTCACTTTCTGTATTCCATTCATGATTTTATAGACCTCTGTTGTATACCCCCTTAGCAGGAGTGCTGACAGACTTGGTGGGTCCCTGGACAAAGCGGGTGGTGCAGTCCTGCTCTCCTGGAAGGAGTGGGGCTTTGAGTGGAAGGGGTGGGGCAGACAGCCTTCAGCGCTTCACGCAGCACACTGGGTTGTGCTCCTCCCCCTCCCCAGGCAGTCCTCAGAGCCCTTGGGAGTGCACCACAGTATTGGTGGTGGTAGGTAGAACCAAAAGACCCAATCCTATAATTTTGCACCCATCTTTTTATATGTTTTAGTCCATAGATCCTGGCCTGTCCCATTGCTCCAGAGCACTGGGGGTGCACTGCATCCAGAGCTCGAAATTAGCTATGCAATTTGAGCTATGAAAATTGCGTAGCTTATTTTGAGTTTATTTCAAAATAGCTT